ATTAGGTTCAAAACAAACAAACAAAAAGAAAAAAACTGCTTTATAACTGTGAAATATTATGTTTATCATCCTCAAAACTGTTTTTTTTCCTCCTGCATCATAAATAGCGATATCAGTTCATTAAGTGGGCATTGCACCCAGTTTTGATAGTGTAAAAATCTCAGTGTATTCAGTAGGAGAAATTGGGGTATTTATGTTCTGTTTTAATGGAAAAGCGTAGTTTTGGTGGATTATATTTCAAATGGCATAGTTGAAGTTGTTGATTGCTACTATATTGTAATGTAGTTCCTTTAAATGTCCATGAGGCGACAGTCTAGACCGTAGCACCGACAGCAGGACCATCATGTAAGGTGTCAAACTCATCTGTGTTTTTTTTTTTTTTTCCACAGGGCTTTGTTAGACTGAGGCGCAGGGTGAGGTGGACTGATAAACGCTGGTGTTCGGTTTGCCTTTTTAAATAACATATTTTATCCACATTAAGCACGTTTTTTTTTTAGCTCCATGGATCTTTTCCTGTCTGGAATTATGCTTTTGCTGGGAAAAACGGTTTTCTTTGGAATTTATCTGATGCCGATTGTGCTGGAATATTACTGTGGAGCCGTGACCGGGCAGATCTCCTACTCCGTGCCAGAGGAGGTAAATCCGGAAACGTCTGTTGGCAATTTGGCCAAAGATCTGAACCTGAACGTGCAGGATTTGGAGTCGCGCATGTTTCAGATAGTAACCGGATCAAAGAAGAAATATTTTGACGTCAACTTAAAGTCGGGATCGCTCTATGTCAGTGAGAGAATAGACAGAGAGGAGCTCTGTGCCAAAGCTACAAAATGCGCTCTGAATGTGGAGGCTGTGATTAATAACCCATTGAAGCTTTATCGGATAGAAGTTCATATTATTGATGTAAATGATAACGCCCCATCTTTTAACGCAAAATCACAAACGATCGAAATTGCAGAAAGTGTATTACCAGGAGCCACGTTCCCTGTGCTTTCCGCTTATGATGCTGATGTGGGGAAAAATGATATTAGCACGTACAGGCTCAAACCTAATGAATATTTTTCCTTAGCTGTGCACAAAGGTGAGAGTGTGTCAGCGGAGTTAGTTCTTCAGAAAGCATTAGACCGTGAAAAACAAGCTCTGATTAAACTTACGCTGACTGCACTAGACGGAGGGACACCAGCGAGATCAGGCACGTCAGAAATCATAATTTATATTTTAGACATTAACGATAATATTCCAATATTCACTAAAACCTTATACAAAACAAGTATAACAGAAAATGCACCACTTGGCACTACTGTAGTAACTGTTTCTGCAGCTGATACTGACGATGGCTTAAACAAAGAGATTGGATATTCACTAAATTCAAAAGATCAGGACCACGTCCTGGAAACCTTTGAAATCCATTCTGAAACAGGAACAATAACAGTCAAAGGAGCGATTGATTTTGAGAAAAATCCCGCTTTTGAAATCCGCGTGCGGGCCACAGACAAAGGCCATCCTCCGCTCAAAGCTCAGTGTAAAGTGCTGGTGGAGGTGGTGGATCTCAATGACAATGCGCCTGACATCACCGTGACGTCACTGCTCAGCAGCGTTAAAGAAGACGCTGAAATCGGTACAGCGGTGGCACTGGTTTCAGTTCTGGACAGAGACGGAGGCAGAAACGGCGAAGTTAAATGTGAAATATTGACTTCCGCTCCTTTTAAATTAGACACTAACTATAAAAACTACTATTCTTTGGTCATCAGTGATAAACTGGACAGGGAACTCATTTCTCAATATAACATCACTATTAAAGCAACAGATGAGGGCAGCCCACCTCTCTCTAACACAGGCAATGTGATGATTCAAGTTTCTGATATAAATGATAACAAGCCAGTGTTTTCAGAAGCTGTCATAAATATTTATGTGAGAGAAAACTGTCCGGTTGGGACACTTTTAAAAACTGTCTCTGCAACCGATGCAGATGTTAATGAAAACGGTCACATGACCTATTCAACTGTTAGAGATAATAATTTAGTGTCCCTGTCTACAATGGTAAATATTAACTCGGAGACCGGAGACATAATCAGTCTGCAGTCTTTTAACTATGAGGAGCTAAAATCATTTCAGTTTGAAGTTCAGGCCACAGACTCTGGTGTTCCTCCGCTCAGCAGCAACGTGACTGTAAATGTTTTAATCCTGGATGAGAATGACAACAGTCCCACTATTCTGGCTCCTTATTCTGAGCTCGGTTCTGTTAACAGTGAGACCATCCCCTATTCTGCTGAGGCGGGACTTTTTGTGACAAAAATCAGGGCTGTGGATGCAGATTCTGGATACAATGCGCTGCTTTCTTATCAGCTGTCTGAGCCCAAAGGAAACAACRTGTTCAGGATCGGAACCAGCACCGGGGAGATCAGGACTAAGAGGAGAATGAGTGACAACGACCTGAAAACTCACCCCTTGGTGGTGCTGGTTTCTGATAACGGTGAACCTTCTCTGTCAGCTACTGTGTCTGTTGATGTGGTGGTGGTTGAAAGCTCAGCTGACATCCAGACTCCGTTCAGACACGTGCCTATAAAGGAGGACA